TACCAAGGCAACGAGGGAACAATGGCATACAGTTGGCAGGCCTGGGAAGAGAATTTCAACAGGCAAATGGTACTTCAGGGAAGGGGGTGAGTATGCTGCATATGTGGAGGTTCCCCTTCCCTAGTTTTTGATCATCTGCTGAATAGCAGGCCCCTGAGCTTCGCGTGGCTTCTGGGAAGCTGCCTCACAGAGGCTGTGGCTTCCACCCTCCTGAGGCTAGTCAGCCTCCACACCAGCAGCCGGTCCAGACAGGTCTGTCTACCTCTTGTCTCTCACGCTCACACACACAACATGCAAACACGTACCTGCCAGGGTGCTGAGCACAGAGCCCACCCAACCAAACTCAATGCCTCTTCCAAGCCGCCTACTCTAGCCTTCCTCTTGGCCAGTACCTTATTCTGCACTCAGGTGTCATGGCGCTCGGGGTCTCATGTATGACACCCTGGGGATGGGCACTAGGAAGCCCCCTCCGCAGAAAGGGAGATGACCTCCCCAAGGTCACAGAGCTGCTCAGGGGCAGCCTCACAGACCCCAACCTCACAGCTCCCACCCCTGGCTCGCCCCAATCAGAAAACTCTGCTGGGCCTGGGGTTGGCACTGGCTTTGCCAGAGGGGCCAGGAACAAGGTCAGGTTCCATTTCATTTCAGCAGAGACTTCAAAAGAAAAAAAGACACACACGGAAAAAGCAAACCAGGTGCTCCAGATGCCAGGCATTCCTCAATCCCCTCTGACCAGGCAGGTTCAAAGTCAGCCCTGCTGCCTGCACTCCGTGCCCATGCAGGAATCCCAGGGCAAGAGCAGCTTTGAAAGGAAGGGCGTGAAACCACTGCCGACTTCACCCACAAGCAACATACAAAAGCCAAGGCCCACTTCTCAAATGAGAAGTTGTAACAATTCATTCTGTCATGGATCTGCTCATTAGGTTACAATTGCTGTAAGTGAATCCAAAGGAGAGGATGCCTGTCCTCCCAACTGAGTGCAGGCCAAGAGAGCACTGTGCATGCTAAGACAGCTGACTTCCTGGGCAGGGCCACAGGGACAGGTGACTTCCTGGGCAGGGCCACAGGGACGGTGACACACCTCCTCTTCCTTTCAGTATTCAATTTCTGCGAATTTAGGGGCCCTGTGATTTTCTCGGTTTCAGAATGAGTGATCGAACACTTGGGACTCGAGGGGAAGCAAATTTCTTTGCCAACTGGGGGTGGGAGTGGCCGGGTAAGGGGTACACACGCGTTCCCCACAGCTTCCGAGTCGGGGCTTCACCGTCAAGGAGGTGTGAATTCTGGGTGCTGTATCTGGAGAAAAATGTTCGTTGATGCCACAGTCAAATCAGGTCATGGTGAAATCGTGACTCCTGCCCACATGGTCTTCCTCCTATGACTACCCCATCTTTCTCAGTAAAGACTGCACTGCTCAGCGGGGATGCGAGGGGGTGGGAGGCTGGGGCCGGCCACTCTTAAGAATCAACTTTTGTAGAATTGTGGAATTGGTGTGTGTTCTGCTGTGCATATTTTCAACAACCACCAAAAAATAAAGTAATTTGAAAAAAGAGTCATTTGCATCTGTCTGCTACAAGCAGGGTGTCAGCACCCCCCCAGATCCAGGGACAATGAGAGGAGACATTGTTGTTGGGTGCCACCCATTTCATTGTGACTCACAGCGACCCCACGTGACTGAGCAGAACTGCCTCACAGTTCTAGGCTGTGATCTTTGCCAAAGCAGACTGCCAGGCCTTTCTCCCACAGAGCCACTGGGTGGGTTCAAACCACCGACCTTCCAGTTAGCAGCTGAGCACTTGACTGTTACGCCACCCAGTTCCTGAAAGGTTATTGGGTAGAAATCATGTGGAAGAGCAAAAGTCCACACGTCACCTCAACACGGGAAGGGAAAGATGGTCCTGACAGAGATGAGCAGCAGGGACACTGTGACTGTGGCCGGCAAGGGAGCTGGCGTCAGGCCACGTCAGCTGTTTGGCCCAGCACCCATCCCCTTCTTCCGATGAAGATACCTCACTGTTCACTTGGGGAACCTCCCCGACTCTGTCCATGTCACCTGAGTGGGGCTGATTTCTCTCCGCAGCTCAAAGGGAACACACGGGACCCAGAGCTGGACCATCATGACATCGTCACTGGGGCAGGCACGAGATCTGAGTGAGGGCCAGCAACGCCGAGGAGCATCAGCCCCAGGACCTCAGCCAGTGTCACTGGACTGTGAAGGTGGCAGTGTGCAAGCCAACTTGGTGGCCTATGGTCATCTCTGCACTTGGGTCCAGCCCCGCCCAAGCCACCAGTTCTGTGAACAACCATCACTCTCTCTGTATAAGCCAGTCTGAGTTGGATTTCTGAGTCTTACAACCACGAGAGGCCTAACGCATCCTTGTTCAGAAAACAGAAAAGCAGCACACGAATTACATTTTCTATCGTACACAGGGTCCCTATGTCCCCGTTGGAGACGACTCAACGGCACCTAACAACAACACTACTCATATTTCCAGATAGGAAACTGTCAGGTTAATGATACTGCCCAGGGTACACAAGAGATGGGCTTGTCTCTGGCCCCGACCCTGTGCTGCACTTCAGCATGAAATGTGAATGAGGAAATGTGTCAAACACCCTTCCAAGTCACAGGAATGAACAGCTGTGCAATTTCAGCCCAACACAGACAGAGTCTAAGGAGAGAAACACACCAACTGCACCTTCAAATACGTGAGTAACTAGAAAAACAGACGATTCACAAAGTTCAGGAATACAACTGCTGCTGCCGAGCCAGGTGGCCCACTGCAGGATGGGCCTGCAAAACATGTAGTCGTCACAAATTGGGTGGGGAGATGGCAGGCCTCTCGTATTCTGGAATGACTAGTATGTCCAAGAAAATAGGAGCGGCAAATGGCTGAGGGGGCGGCTGAGAGCCACACTTGTGCAAAGTCCACAGCCAACATCGACTGCCCAAGCAAAGCCTTCCGGGGCATTCCTGCGCCCTGCCTGGCACCGAGCAGAGCAGCTGCTGGAAAACACTTCCGGAGACTTGGGCAAATTCCTCCCCTGGCCCCCTGCACACAGCAGGTGGGCTTGGCATCCAGGGAGTCTGCATATCGAATAAAACACAGCAGAAACAGATGCTGTGACTGGCCGGCCAGGTAAGCCTGCCACGTCACGTCCCCGTCACTGTTAATGACAGCCAGGGCCTGGTGAGAGCGCATCCCTTAAGAGGACTGGAACAAAAGCGGCAGCATCTTTCCAAAACAGAACTGACAAGGACACAGTGTAGGAAAACAGGGTAAGGACCTCCACTCCTCCTCCAATGTGGGTGTGTCGTAGCTAAACACTGGGTTCAGCAGACAAGGGGCTTCCAAATTAAAAAAAAAAAAAAAAAAGTGATCCAAATAGGTAAGCAAGTGTTGGCCTACCTTGAGCTTGCCCTTCCCTTCCTCCACCGAAGGGTATTTGCTGGCAAAGTTTTCCCAAACCAAAACTTAAAAAGAAAAAAGAATTTCTAAACCAAAATGTTACTGTACACTTTGAACAGAAAAAAGGCATGCTAGAGATCTCGGGCCTTAAACAGAGGTCCAATGGCACCAGAGAGGTGCTTCAGTTACACTCAGTAAAATGTGATCACGGCACTCACTGATAACCGCCAAGAAAACCATCGTGGGGCTGGCAGGGTAGTCTGGGGACGAGCTCTGGCTGCAGAATTCCAGCGAACTTCTAAAAACCAATGAGCTCTCAGTCATTGATTCAGGGAGCTGCTCTGGTTTATGGCTTCAGATGCCCCTGGACTAGGGGCCTCCCACTGCCCCAGGCTAGCAAGGCCATTGTGAACCAGAACCAGGCAGACAGCTCACAGGAAATGCTTACCTACACCCTAGCAGACCACAGCCAGGCTGGTGAGGGGAGGCCGGATTCATCCCAGGAGGAATGGCGCAACCTCACCCCCAGCCAGCAGAGCCCTGGCCCCAACCTCTGCCAAGTACCTATCTCCCTGTGCCCTCTCCCTCTCAGTGCCTGCAGTTGCAGCCAGAGACCCCATCTATGTGGCTGTGAGCCTGGCCCATGACACAAGGGACCAGACAGTTCAATCTTGAACAATTCCAGAGCAGGCAACATTCTCCAGTCCTGGAAGGTCTGGCATCTAAGTGAGAGGGAGGTGGAAAATAAACCAGAAGCATCCCTGACAAGGGAAAAAGGAGGAAGGAAGGATGCTGCTGACTGAGCACACACAGGAACCCAGCACTGTGGACCTCACTCTAAACAGAAAGGGCTTCTTAAAACTCTTAGCGTACATGTCTAGGCAACGATTTTGATTAATTGATTCCTAAAACCATAATCATCTCATTAGAAGCATATTGATTTCATTAAACACGGAATGTCTTCCTTTCTACAATGCCTTGGAAATAATGACTTCTCTTCAAAATCATGACCCTAGGCTGGCAGAAAACAGGACACCAGCAAGGCTGCTGCTGACAGTAGCAACTTGGACAGCGTTTACTACGACCAGGCACTGTTCTAAGCATGGCACGTACACCAGAAGTCACTCCATTCCTGTAACAACCCTACATGTGACAGTAGCAACTGGGACAGCGTTTCCTACGACCAGGCACTGTTCTAAGCATGGCACGTACACCAGAAGTCACTCCATTCCTGTAACAACCCTACATGTGATAGTAGCAACTGGGACAGCATTTACCATGAGCTAGTCACTGTTCTAAGCACGTCATGTATACTCAAAGTCACTCCATTCCTGTAACAACCCTACAGGTACCATCCTGTTAGGAGTCTTTCACAGATGAGGAGACTGAGGCACAAGGAAGTCAAGCACTCTGCTCCTGGTCCCCCATCCCACAAAGGGCAAGGACTTGTGTGTGTTCTGTGTTTGACACACAAGTCACACGGCCCCAAGGGACTGAGCACACAGGAGGGGACCAGAAGTCAGGGTGGAGGAGACAGAACAGCGGCCTGGCTCACCGCGGGGCAGCACAGGTGGTGCTCCCAGGTGCACTCACCTTCACTCTCCCCACTTGTCTTGATGCCTTTTGATGCCCCCTCTGTGCCATCAGCCTTCTCGGCGTCTTCTTGGGCATCCTCGGCAGGCCCCTTCTCCTCGTCCTCCTCCTCCCCAACGTTTTTATAGTTGGGTCTCTTTTGCACCCGCCTCTTGCCCTTGTGCTTATTCATCTCAAGGGACCGCTCCAGTGTCTCGGTGGGTTTTATGAAACACCGAATGCTGGGCTTGGCCTACAAAAGTCCAACAGAGACAAGAGACAGACGTGAATGCTGGAAACTTACCTGATGCTATCTGCTGCCTGACAGCTCCTGTCCCCAAGAAATTAATCTCCAAAACCACACATGCCACCTCCGAGTGTACTGGTACACTGTTGTTGTTGTTGTTGTGTGCCGTCGAGTCGGATCCGACTCATAGCGACCCCTCCTTGAGTTTCCGAGGCAGTATCACTACGGAAGTAGATTGCCACATCTTTCTTCCAAGGAGTGGCTGGTGGGTTTGAACTGCCAGCCTTCTGGTTAGCAGTCAAGTGCCTTAGCCACTATGCTACTGGTACACTAGCATCTCCTAATGGCATCGTTACTGAATAATAAAGCCAAAAGCACGCCCTGCAGCTCGATGCACTCCAATGTCAGTTATTCACTGAGAAAGATACTCCTGATTAGCATGCCTCTGGTCCTGTGTGTACGCACCAGATGCTGTTGTAAGGGACTTGGCTATAGTATCTCATTTATACTTGACAACAACCCCATATAGTGACAACCCCTTGTCACTATCCTCATTTCACAGATGAGGAAAACCGAGATTCAGGATTGTTAAATGACCTGCCCAAGGTCACACAGCAAGGGAGCAGCATACCTAGGATTCAAACACACGTATATAATCTGTGTCAGAGCTGCAGCACACCTAAGTCATTACCTTCTTAACTGAAATAGGTTTTTGTTTTTTTTTTAAGAAATTGTACATCACTACAAAAAATAAAATACTGGTGTATCAGCCATCACAAGAATAAAGAAAAGAAAAAGCGAGGTACGCTGGTGTTGTTAGGTGCTGTTGAGTCAATTCTGATTCACAGCGACCCCATGTACAACAGAAAGAAACAGGGCCCAGCCCCACACCATCCTCACAATTATTGCCATGTCTGAGCTCCTTCTTGCAGCCACTGGGTCAACCCCCGCATTGAGGGTCTTCTTCGTTTTCCACTGGCCCTCTGCTTTACCAAGCATGGTGTCCTACTCCAGGGCCCGGACCCTCCTGATAACACGTGCAAAGAAGGTGAGCCGAAGTCCCCCATCCCCGCTTCTAAGGAGCATTCCGCTGTACCTCACCCAAGACAGGTCAGACTCTGGCTCCCCACAACACAGGGGCCACGGGAACAGTGGCCCCTCAAAGAATGTCACCACTGTCACTGAGCTGCACATGCAAAGACCTGAACTCAACAACAACAATGAAATATTTTAAAAAGGAAAAGAAAAAGAAAGGGAGCCTAGCAAGTACCAAGACCAAACCAAACCCACTGCCACTGAGTGGATTCTCACGACACCCCAAGAGGACAGAGCAGAACTGCCTCACAGTGTTTCCAAGCTGTCGTCAATCTTTATGGAACCAGAGCCCAAATGAAACCCACTGCCATCAGATTAATTCTGACTCACAGCACCCCTAGAGGACAGAGCAGAACTGCCCCGTAGTGTTCCCAAGGCTGTCAATCTTTATGGACACAGACTGGTTCACCTTTTTCTGTGCAGCAGCTGGTGGATTCACACAGCCGATCTTGTGGTTAGCAGAAGAATGCTTTAACCACTGCGCCACCAGAAGGAAAAAAAAAAAAAGACAAAAAAAACTCATAGCCGTCGAGTCAGATCTGACTCATGGTGACCCCTCCTTGGGTTTCTGAGGCGGTATCTCTACAGAAGTAGATTGCCCAATGTTCCTTCTGAGGAGTGGCTGATTGGTTTGAACTTCCAGACTTCTGGTTAGCAGTCAAATGCCTTAGGCACTATGTTACCAGAGCTCCCATGAGCTTCAGCAAGGGGGGAATTAAATATCAATTTACTCCAAAGGAAGAAGTTTATCCCTGAGAAAGCCAGAAGGCTTGAAAATTTTAAAAGGCCCAAGCATCATCAGTGGTCTACATCCCACAGGGTGGGAAACATGGCTTGATTTCAGTGATTTTTTAATGATCATGATATATAGAGACCTTCAGTCTCATTTTAGAGATTGGAAAACAGAGGCTCAGAAGGGTTAAGTAACTTGCCCAGTGTCACACAGCTACTCAGCTGGAGAGTCAGAATTTGAATGTAAGTTTGACTCAAAAGCCTCAGTGTTTTACCAGGGGCTCCAACTTGCCTCCCAGGTTTAGTGATGTTTACAAAGTGTACATATGCAAATGATCGGGTCTAGAATGGAGCAAGGACAAAAGTTAACTATCTGGTTGTCTGGGGCCAGGTTTCTAATTGAAATGTCTTTTTCCAGTCTGGATGATGTTTGGCTATGATTTTGTCATTAAAAAACAAAGTAAACAGTTTTAAAGGCGCCTTCTCCATTACCTTGATGGGGACTACCCACCTATGAATTTATCCCCAACAGCCATTAATTTTATTCTGGGGCCCCAGACCTTGTCAATAAGTGGAATGAGCTCAGGAGCTCAGATTAATTTTAATAATGCTCAAAACAAAACCTAATTGAAAGCCAAATTAGCATCCAAACTCAAACATTCATTTTTATTTGCCCACTTTGGATTATTCATCCACAAAATGACAGACAAATTAAACAGGAATTATGGTCCAGGAACCCAGACAGCGTACCATAGATGCCAGCAACCCGAGCAGAGATGGCGTGTCCCCTGTGTGCATGCCTGACAGATGGCATCCATCAGAGCCCACTCAGGGCACAGTGTGATTGAATGCAGCCCTGGGCCCCCTCCCCTCCTAATGAAGGACTCAGACCCATGAAGTCAGGCCCCAGGATTAAGTGCCTGGCTTCCTCCGCTCACCGCCTCCTCCCAGTAAATTTTAGAGCATGTCACACAGCAGTCAAAATCTTTCTGAAATAGAAAGCTGAGACCAAACACAGATCAAAGCACTATCCAGCTGGAAGCTATGAAGCAGGAATTCGCTGCAACAGACAGATGCAGATGCTCCTCCCTAAGCTTTATATAGAGTCCCAGAGGGCGGGGGGTGCAAACACTAACACACTTGGCTGCTCACCAAAAGGTTGGAGGTTCAAGGCCACCCAGAGGTACCGCAGAAGAATGACCTGGTGATCTGCCTCCAAAAAATCACCCACTGAAAATCCTATGAAGCACAGTTGTACTCTGATACACGTAGGGTCACCATGAGTTGGAATTGACAGCAACTGGTTTTTTAAACTGCATGTGAACTCACAAAAACACTGTTCCACATCCTACTTTGGCGGGTAGTGACTGGGATCTTAAAAACTTGCAAGCAGCCATCAAGATGCCAACAATGGGTCTCTCCTCGTCCAGAGCAAAGAAGAATGAAGAAAACTAAAGACACATGGAAAAAATTAGTCCAAGGGACTGCTACACCATGCGATACTCAGCCTATATGACCATGAGACCAGAAGAACTAGATGGTGCCCAGCTACCACTGTCAACCACTCAGAGGGGGAGCTATGTAGGAGATTCTGAACAGAGTGGGAGAACAATGTGGAACAAAACTCAAGATCATAAAAAAAAAAAAAAAAAAGGACCAGGTTTGCTGGTCTGATAGAGCCTGATGGAACCCCTAAGATCATGGCCCCTAGCTGCCCTTCAAGTCTGGAATTGAACCCACTCCCGTGGATTCCAGCCAAACAAAGACAGGCATATGAGGTGAACATTTACATTAGGTAGATAATACACTCCTTGGAGAGATCAATCATGGGAGAATAGAAGAGCTGTATATACACAGGGAGACAGCTCGGGGGGCAGGAGTGCATGGAGGGAAGGACACAGGGAAGAGGTAACTATGGGGAGGAAGTGGGAGGGGAGCTGATGCATTGTGGGAAATTACAATCAATGTCATGAGACAAAGTATAGTGAACTGCTGTATGAAAAGTGAATTTTTTCTGTAAACTTTCACTCAAATCACAATAAAAATTAAAAAAAAAAAAAACCACCTGTATGTGAACTCAGATGGGCAGAGTAACGGGCAAAAGCAAGGGACTGTAAGAAGCTCATGGGGCCTGGAGCTGGCCTGGGCAGAGTGAGCCCCAGACAGAGCCCCAGGAGTTGTAGAGTCTCTCTGAACCTCAGGTCCCACATATAAAAATGGGACAAATAATTCTGGCCTCCTAATTCTGAACACAGTTGTGGACAGGAAGCTCTTTGGAGCTTGGCCACGCAGTAAGCAGCCAACAAACGCCAGCCGCCTCCCTTTCTGGGCCTGTATTGGAAAAAAAAAAAAAAAAAATTAACTGTGAAAATAAGAAAACCTTCAAAAGGGATCCGCTTCTCTTGAAGATCAGGTGTTTGGGGAAAACAAAAAGGCATGCTTACTGGGGAAATTTCAAACCTTTAAAATGCAACCATCCAGTAAACAGCTGGAAATAACCTAACTGTCCACCAGCAGGGGAGTGGTTAGGTCCTTCTGGCCTGTCCATCGAGTGGGGATCAAAGTATCTGGTCGGAGATGGAGGTATGCCTGCACGTACTGCTGTGGAAGCAGCTCCAGAGTGGAAGGGCAAGAGCAGTGAGCGGAGCCAGGTCCCCTCCAGGCAACACTGTTCAAGGCCACGTGTGATGGTGCAAGCCCAACTTCACCTGGAGAGATGCTTGAGGATGCACTAGTGTTTCATCTCTGGGCGAGAAGAGGGCAGGCGGCGCTGCGTGTGCACACCCACACACGCATGCTGCTACTTTTTCATTTTTAAACATTTCCATTTGATCTGAAATTTCTTCATGTAACTATTAACTTTTTAAAAATTTGATAAAGGTCCTTTGGACACTGGGATTATGGATTGCTTTTTTATTCTACTCAAAAGGAGCCCTGGAGGCTCAGGGGTTAAGCGCTCAGCTGCTAACTGAAAGTTTGGCAGTTTGAACTCACCAGATGCTCCCTGGGAGAAAGATGTGGCAGTCTGCTTCCATAAACATTAAGCCTTGGAAACACTATAGGGCAGTTCTACTCCGTCCTATGTGCTATGGGTTGGAATTCAACTCAACAGCAGTGGGTTCATTTTCTTGGGGGATATGTAAAAACCTGGGTGGGTCAGTTCATCGACTGCTTGCTTT